ACAATGCAATAGGTAATATACGATGTTATCAATGCGGAGGTAATCATTATGCCCGGGATTGTGTACAACAACGTAATAGCAATAATTCACGTCCATCTAATAATAATTTTACTAGACAGCCGACTAATTATAACGCTCCAGCAAAGGTAGTATGCACATATTGTAAGCAAAATGGGCATGACGTTTCCACATGTTTTAGAAAACAGAATAATGATAGACGTAATAATGGGTCGGGAAACTTGCCAAGATCGGACGACAGGAGTGGCGCTCGCCCGATAAATTTAATAGCCACAGTAGAGGAAGATTTAGACGATGTTTACACATCGTGTCAGTCTTAAACAACAATCATATTACTTGTCAGTCTACTAATATAAAAAAGAATTCATGGAACTACTTGTAGACACTGGAAGCGATGTTAATTTAATAAAATTTAGTACTTTGACAGGTGACACACTAGTTCAAGAAAATAAGAAAATATATTTAAAGGGAATTAACGATAGGATCGTATCAACCGTAGGCTCGATAAGAATAACTTTAAGATTTAGTGATGTTAATATAGAAACGGAGTTTCAAGTAATACGTGATTCATTTCCTATACCTAAGGATGGTATTCTAGGACAACAATTTTTAATGGAAAATAAGGTAGTGATAGATGTAGCGAATAACTCGTTAATAATAAATAATAAGATAGTTAATAAAATGATTAAGGATAGTTTATGTTTTAAGTTGAAGCCAAGGACGGAAACAGTGGTGTCCGTGCCAATTGCCGATCCGGCTATGGAAAATAAAGATATTATAGTTTTAAAACAAGAATTAATTAAGGATGTATACTGTGCCAATGTGGTAGGAACAGTAAAATTAGGAAAGGTTATGGTTAGTATATTAAACGTTTCTGAAGTAACAAAAGAAATTAATGAAAGTATTATGAATCAAATATTATATGATACCGCTACGACCTATAGTATACATGCGGTACATACTGAGATTAATAATGATAATCGTGTAAATAGAATTTTGAATTTAATACGAAGTGATCATATGAGCATAGATGAACGAAAATCTATTTTTGAAATATGTGAGCAATATTCCGAAATATTCCATTTAGAAGGCGATCGACTCACTTTTACAGATGCAGCTGAGCATGTTATTAATCTAAACGTTAACCAACAACCCATTTATCAAAGACCATATAGGTTGCCACATTCACAACAATCCGAAATTAAACAACAACTAGACAAAATGGAACAAGATGGAATTATAGAACCTTCTAGTTCACCTTGGAACGCCCCGCTCTTACTTGTTAAGAAAAAAATGGATGCAAGTGGTAAGGAGAAATTTCGAATCGTAATAGACTTTCGAGCTTTAAATCAAGTAACCTTGAATGAATTCCATCCCTTACCTAACATCACGGAAATACTCGATCATTTAGGGCAATGTCAATTGTTCAGCGTGATTGACCTCGCTTCAGGTTTTTACCAAATTCCTTTATCAAAGTCTTCACGTGAGCTTACAGCTTTTTCTGCTAACAATGCACATTACCACTTTAAACGAATGGCGATGGGGATGAAAACTAGTCCATCCACATTCCAGAGACTTATGGATAATGTATTATCAGGGATCATTGGGATTAAGTGTCTAGTTTATCTTGACGATATAATTATTTATGGGAAAAACTTGATAGATCATAATGATAAGTTGATAGATGTGTTTGAACGTTTGCGAGAACATAACTTAAAGATCCAGCCAGATAAATGTGAATTTGTAAAACGAGAATGTATATATTTAGGACATGTTATCTCTGAAACAGGAATAAGACCTGATCCAAAGAAAATACAAGCTGTTCTAGATTTTCCGGAACCTAAGAATGTGAAGCAGATAAAATCTTTTCTAGGATTATCAGGGTATTATAGGAAGTTTATTGAAAACTACAGTTCAATAGCTAGGCCTATAACGAATTTATTAAAGAAAGATGTAAAATTTGATTGGAATGAAGAATGTGATAAAGCTTTTGGGAAGTTAAAACATGCCTTATGTACTGAACCCGTATTGCAGTACCCAGATTTCACGAAAGAGTTTATATTAACAACAGATGCTAGTGGGAAAGCGTTAGGAGCCATACTATCTCAAGGGGAAATAGGAAAAGATTTGCCTGTAGATTACGCTTCAAGAACTTTGAGTCCCAGCGAGCACAACTATTCCACAACAGAGTTAGAATGTTTAGCCATTGTTTATGGAATTAAGCAATTTAGACCTTATCTATATGGAAGGAAATTTACAATCTTAAGTGACCATAGACCATTAGCTTGGTTATTCAATTTAAAGGATCCCTTATCAAAATTAGCTAGATGGAGAATAGAGTTAGAACAATATGACTATGTTATTAAATATAAACCGGGAGTTCAAAACGGTAACGTAGATGCTTTATCTAGGATGTTCACTATACAGGATATAAAGGAGGAAAGCTATAACAATTTTCTTGTGAAATTCGAAACCACATTGATAACCAATGGAAACGTTAAGGAAGTACACGGGGAATTGTTGGAGTCACCTCCTGAATATCATATAGTTACTGAAATAGAAAAGTATTATAACTTCAGGACAGGAATCAATTATGAGATAAAACAGAAATTTGGTGATACCGTTATCTTGAAATCTAACAAACAAGTAGGCGAAGTCACAAAAGTTAAACATGAAGATAGGTATATAATATTCTTAATAACCAAGAGTAAAACTAAACAGATCACTACGTATGAAAATCTATATAACGCTCTATTAAATTTAAAATATTTTAGTGAAAAGCATTCCTTAAATAAACTCGTAATGAAACAGCTAGGCCGAAAGGATGGGTTAGAATGGAATAAGGTTAGAGCCATGATAAGATTTATATTCCGAAACACAGCAATAGAAATTTTAATCTGTTCAAAATTAGAATATACGGATGCAGAGAAAATGATCATATTTAAACAATTTCATGATTCAGTACTAGGAGGACATGCAGGAGTAAACAAAACCATTAAAAAGATTAAACGTCAGTTTAATTGGCCAGGACTCAAGTTAGATGTTAAGAATTATATTAAGAAATGTGAGTCCTGCCAAAAGAATAAAGTTACGAATAGGAAGATTAAACAACCCATGGTAATAACCACCACAAGTTCAAAACCATTTGAAAAGATATTTTTGGATATAGTAGGACCCTTAGTCACTACAGCACCTGGGAATACTTATATTTTAACCATGCAAGATGATCTTACAAAATATTCATTGGGAGTACCTTTACCGAATCACACAGCCAATACTGTAGCTGAAGCTTTCGTAGTACATTTCGTTTGTATTCACGGAATACCAGAGACCATATTAACCGACCAAGGGACCGATTTCCTAAGCAAAACATTCGCGGAAGTGTGCAAACTTTTAAAAATTAATAAGATAAATACTAGCCCGTATCATCCACAAACCAATGGGGGATTAGAAAGATCGCACAGAACTTTAGCAGAATATCTTCGACATTATGTAGATAAAGATTTAAACACCTGGGATCAATTATTACCTTATGCGTTATTCGTTTACAATTCAACAGAACATTCTTCCACGAATTATCAACCCTATACACTGTTGTATGGAAAGGAAATAAACATTCCAGTAAACTTGAAAAGTAAACCAGAACCTAGATACAATTACAATGATTATTTATATGACCTGAAACAAAGAATGCAGGAGTCTCATAAGATAGCAAGGGAAAGGTTAATAAAGAAAAAGATTAAATCAAAAACAAATTATGATAGCAATGCACATAGTGAAGAGTTGCATGTAAAGGAGTCTATATTATTACGAGATAACACTCAGAGAAATAAGCTAACACCTCTATGGAAGGGACCTTTCGAAATTTTGGAAATATTAGATACTGAAAACATTGTTATTCAAAGGGGAAGGAAAAAGGTCACCGTACATAAGAATGATGTGAAGAAGTACCATGAAAATCCCAGTTAAAAAAAAAAAAAGAAAAAAGAATATATACAATTTATAGTTAGTACGTAATAGGTAGAAATAAGATTTAACCAAAATTTTAATTATAGGACTAAAAATCAACTGTTCTGTATCAATCTGGACCATGCAATTTTGCTTGAAACTCATGACACAAGCACAGTAGGAGGCGGTAATTTACCAAGGTGTCTACCAAGACACATAGAAAACGCCAACGAGCGGTTAGACGAACCCTTTTCAGAAAGCGAAATCAAAAGGATAACCCAAAGTATTGTAACTTTTTTATATGATGTATCGAAAAGGAAAGGGAGATTGGGGAAACAATGTTGCATGGACCTGGTCGATTACAAAATGTATATACCAGAGCCAGAAATTTTAATGGAATATGTGGATCAATACATAAAATAAAAAAAAAAAAATATTAATTATAACTTAAATTAAATATAAAAAAATTATTATTAACTAAAAATTATTGATATTATAGTTAGATACTTGTTATATATATTAAGAACGAATATTTACGTCAACAGATCGCCTGTAGTACCACCTATAGGCACAGCGACCATTTTTTACCGAGAAATAAGGCCACCACCAATAACAGGGGAAGAAAGTAGAGCGGAGCTTAGAGCTGGTGTAAGACTGGCTTATCGAGTAACGTGCGAATTCTATGAGACCAATCCGGAGATAAACCGAGGGGCATGGAATCATTATGCTATGAGGTGCATGGCAAAAGGAAGGGGGATGGCCATGCGAGAAGCCTACGAAAATTCTAATAGGCAGCGGAATTAAAACGTTAATTGGAATATTTTTGAGTTTTTTTAATATTAATTTTATAATTTGGATATTTTATTAAAAGTCGTATTTAATTAAATTGGACCTCTTGTTTTATTTATTAGCAACTTTAATTAGTTAAGCCAATTGAATTCTAAGGAAAGACATTGTCCCCGAACCAGAAGACTTACTGGCATACAAAGAATAAGATGATAACAAATTGATTGTATTATAGATTCATTGGTACAATGGCGTTTCTTGGACAAACAGGGATGGCATATGATACAACAAGGGAGAATGGGATAATATTTAACGAAAAGACAACACTAGGAGAACTTGTAGTACAAGGTATAACGGTTAATCAGGACGTCGCTATAAGGGTGCCGGATAATTATAAACAAACCTGTAAATTAGGATCTATTCGTATAAATTGCACAGGGACAATTGACAGTGAAAAACTAGATCAACAAGATGGAACGTATCTGTCAGTATACGTAGGCAAACAATGTACAGTTGATTTATCAAGAGCAGAAGGAGAAGTAGACGAAGAAATATCCGTAATGCAATTCAGACTAAGAGGGGAACGGATAATAATTAAACAGATCCTTATAAAACCCACCATTAATCAAAATTATCAATTCAACAACCATACAATCAATATGGAAACTCTAGAAAAAGAAACTAGGAAACGATCAGTAACCGACAAGTTAGAAACAACCACCCAGTTAAACAATACTGAGCATACAGTAACAAACTCTCCAGAACAAATAAAATCAAATGCAATTACCACTACGCCTACCATAGCCACTCAAGTGAAAAATGAAGAAGGTATCACAAAACAATTGAGTACCTCAACCACCAGATCCCATGTTGTCACCACTGTCAATGAATCACACGTAAACGCTACAACTGTTAACAAATTCACCGAAATTAATTATCTAAGGAATGTAACTATTGTCAGTAATTCACACATACCCACCAACACTCTTGAAAAATCCACTCAAGCCAATGAAATAAGGGAAATAGCCAAATCCAGTGAATCAATAAAGACCACTACTATCATTTATGATCCAGTACGGGAAAAAGGGTTAGAATTTGAATATGTATATGTAATATGTGTAATAATGGGAATAATAATATTAGCAATGATTATAGCAGTAATTAATTTATGTCATTATTACAAAGTAATAGGAAGAAGTCGATTTGATTATTTGAATCCAATAGCGGTTAGATCTTATTCAACTCGAGATAATCTAGAGTTATCAGAAACAAGGTTATAATTAATAATAAAAAAAAAAAAAAAAAAAATAACAAAGTAATCAATAAGATATATATATAATTCAGAAATTAATTATAAGTATAGTAAAAGTTGTCAAGACAACAGGTAAAAGAGTTCCATTAGCTAAGAGTTAATTATTAATATTTTGTAAGTTTGAAATTTGAGTGGATCATGTTAGACGACCTTTAGTAAATTATAACAGAGAGACATAAGAATGGATAATAAACAAAGAGTTTAATCATAATAATATAGGAAAACCATAACGTTGTATACGATTATGATTTATTTTAATTATTCTTTATATAGGTTGCTCTGCATTCCCATCATCCAAGGTCAACTACCGTACTATAATGAAGAATTTAAAAACGAAACAGCCGTATTTTTCGAAAATCAAGGTGAACTGAGAATAATAGGAGCACATTGGGAACTTGTAACATATGTACCATTAGTTAATTATGATAATAGATATGAACAATTGTCAACAGAAATTGATAATATGACCCAACATTGTAAAGACATGTTATCTGAATATGAAGTATGTGCACGGTTTTCGCATGTGGTAAAAACCATGTTTATGGAAATAGCGTCACAAAGGGAGCAAATGTATGAATCTATAGGTAGATACGTGAACACAGATAGGAAAATATCATCAGTCATTAGGAATAGGCGAGGGCTGATAAACATCATAGGAAGTGCTATGAAAACGTTATTTGGGGTATGCGACGATGATTGCACAAAAGAAACTAATAGTAACATTGAGAAAATAGAAACCAGTAATGAAAATATGTTGCACATTTTAAAAAAACAGACCACTGTAGTAAAGTCAGTAGTACAAGGAATAGGGAATACTTCTACCGAAATGAATAATTTATACATTGAATTAGGAAAGAAACAGGGCGAAATTTATAAGAAATTAAATGAAGCTGCTAATCACACACATACCATTGAAACAATGATAATTAGCAACAGAATACATAATATTTTTACCGCTTTAATTACTCAATTTTCTTACGAAACCACAACTATAAGTGCTATAATTACAGCAGCTAGAACAGGAATTCTACATCCAAGTTTAGTAACCCCTAGGGAATTGGCAAAACAATTGACGCAAATTAAATTAAATTTACCTGTGAATCTAAATTTACCTATGGGAACCCAACCAAATGAAATTTATGAGTTGAGTAAAATAACAAAAATGGCCGTGTACTATAGTGGAAATCAAATAGTTTTCTTAATCAAAATACCTTTAGTAACTGAACTCGAATTAACATTATTTAAAATAATCCCAATACCACATAAAATTAATTTCAATCATAGTATAATACTAAAACCAGAATTCCAGTATGTGGGCATAACTAGGAATAGGAGACAATTCACAACGTTCACTGAGACCCAATTACTAAGCTGTACCGAAACAGAAATTTTCAACATATGTCCAGAATTTCAGCCAATACAACATGAGTCGGTAAGACAGCCATGTGAAATTTCATTATTCAAAAATCCGGAATTATTACCCAATAACTGTGAAGCAGGAATCATACTAATATCGAAAAACATTTACCATAAACTAAAATATTCAAATACATGGATTTATTCAACTACTAGCGACACATTGACAATAACGTGTCAGGGGGAACAGGAACCACATATAGTCAAATTGCGAAATCAGGGTTTAATAAATTTAACACAGGAATGTCGAGCTTATGCTAGTGATATAGTTTTGAATCCTACAAGGGAAATAAAATCCAAGAATTACGTCAACTTTATACCTAAATTAGGAATAGGGAGCTTAGCTTTAAAAGTTCCTAAACTAAATTTATTGGCAATACCAAGATATACCCAAAGGCATGACTCATTGAAACTGGATAACGTTCATGAATTAGCTCATTCTTTGAATGATATACAATCAATGGTAGATAAAGAAATGGACAGACAAAACGGGAATGCAGACCAAACTGAACCTTATTTAATCTATGTGTTATTAGGCTTATTATTATTTTCTTTAATATTAATTTTATTATTGTACGTAATGTACGTGTACAATAAAAACTTAAGAGGTACACGCTCCATAAGAGTAAGACATATTGAGGAGCCAGTAAGAAAAAGTAAATTTTTCAGACAGGCAATTTACGAACCAATGAATAAAAGTAGTAAGACATATGACTTGCAAGGACCAATAGTACACTGTAAGTCATATGAAGAAAAGGATAAAAGCATACAAGAAACCTCATTTTCAGATACTGTTGATAGGAATATAAATACTAATCCCGCTAACTTACCAGCAATAATAGATAGATAACTAATAATGTAATTAAAATTGTAATAATTGTATAATTAATTTAGATATTCGTATTTGTATATAGAGAAAATACCCACAAATTCGTGATAATGGATTTTGAATTCACCAATATCCATAAAACCAGTAAGGTCCTCATCTCAGGAGCTATTTCGAATAGTTTGGACCGATTTAAAATAAGGAAGTTAGAAGGACGACCATTATATTTACCAGAAGACGGGGAAGTACGACCGATGAAAGACCGTGAAGTATTAGTTGCACAGAGAGCGTTGGCTCGAATTTTTAAGGCGAAAACGGAACTGCGAGACATATGTTTGGAACAACTAAACCAGAGTCTAAGAGCCCCAGTAAATAGTTTAAATGCGACCTATATACGAAACTATATACTGCGTGGTGACAAGATTAATGTGTTAGTAGTATGGGAAGGTAGTTCTGATAAGGTCATTCTCAAAAGATTAGGAATAACGGAGTTTCCTATATTAAATTTAACTTGTTATGATAAATACTTTAATAAGCAATTTTATATGCAATTGGAGACAGTAAATCCTAAAAGGACAATTTTTGAAATAGAAGTAGGTACTTATGATAAGTCAGGGAGAACCTTAAATCTTACAGAAGCACATAACTTAATTTGCAGAAAAAAACACAAAATTACACATGCACACGACCCACGAACGGATGTTATATATACAAAATGTATTTTTGACTTCATCGTACGAAATTATAAATATGAAAATTTAATTAAACATTTTTAACAATTTAAAAATTTAAAGCTTCAAAATTCAAATTGCAAATAACATCATTTTAATATTATAGGAAACAGTAATCTAAAATGGATAGGAATGAACAGTTATTACAAGAACTTAACATTAGTATAGCAATCCAGACGCACACGAACTCAGAACAAGGAGAATGGTATAACTTTACAGAATGCTTTGACTATCACATAATTTCTGCTAATAATGCAATACTGGTACCATACGAAAGCAGAGAGCTTTTGGAAATAATAAAATGTGTAAAAAGGTTTGTAACTGATATGGTATTGGAAAGGGATCTAACAAATCCAATATGTATGGATTTGGCTAGGTACATCGAAATTATACCCCACGCAACAGATATACTGTTTTACGATAGGTAATATAACGGAAATTAATATATACTGGTTATATATACATGGGATTAATTTTAAATATTATAATTGTTAATAATCAAATATTGCTATTAATCAAATAATTATTATTAACCAAATATTGTTAATAATCAAATATTACTATTAACCAACACTTTATTGTAATCAATAAATATTATATATGTAAACTAACATTTATTATTATAACATTAAATATTATATTAATATTGTATTGGAACTATTGTATTTTAATCAATTAATTTAATTGAATTACTAACAAATATTTTTATCTGTATTTAAATTTTATAATATATGTAATCAATTGTAATACTCTAGAGGAGTAATCAAAAAAAAAAAAAAAAAATGTACTAAAAATTATCATGTAAATTGTCATAATAAGACAATGATTAATTATTTATATATTGTATCTGTAAACTCATGAAACATTTATGTAAACCAATTGTAACTTTTATCTATGTAAAATTTTAAAGCTTTTTGTAGCCCTACAAAATTGTAGCCCCACAAAAACCTTTGAAAGGGCGGTGAGGTGTAGCGAGCTGTGACTATTTTGCCATATGGTTTAAACACATTATAATGAATACGTAATCATATAATATTCGCACCGCGTATATATAAATATTATACTCGAGCGCTTATTCAAATAGTAATAATATAATAATAGTAATATCGAGCGCGTGACCATGAGCGGCGTGCGACAATAGATATATGACTACGTATATGGATAATCCTAAAATAATATGGTTAGATTTGTGCTGTTATTAATTATTGTTGAGTAACACCACAAATGTGCTATATAGATATATGTGGACTTCCGGCGCGTGCAAGCGTGTGAAATTCACAAAAGGCTTAACCGCAAGACCATGTATGGTTTTAGAATAATGGAAGGACCATATATGGTCTTAGAAATCTTGGAAAGTATGGAAGTGGCAAGGGACAGAGATCCATCGAGGAGAGCTGATGGACAAGCGTCCATCAGACGAGCAACCAACCTCAACTTCGACAGTCACACCACTAAATACTCATAGTCACAACTCGCTTTTAGTTTATTATTTGGACTTAGGATAAATTCCATAAAACTGTTTATAAAATAAATACAATAAATACAATCAAAAGAGGTTACTGTTCTATTATTGCTTCCAAATCAACAAGTAACGCTGTTGGGCACGTTACAATATCTTCAATCTCATAACAACCCTCTTCCAATGTAATAAAACATATCATAGGATTATTATTGTTTTCATTATCAACTACTTGTACAGAAAATTTATTATTATTTTCATTAATATTTGGGAATGAATTTAATGACTGTAAACATAACAAAGCTATTTCTGAGTCCTCGTAAAGGTTTATAGATGGAAAATAATTTACAGATAATATTTTAGCATTCCCAGTTAAACTTAAAGTAACTGACTCGTGCATTACAAAATCTAAGATATAAATTTAATGATGAGATCCGTGACGTTTAATATGTAGAACAACTGTTAACGTCTCGTTAAAATTATCAATTGGATTATTGTTTTGGTCAACTAACTCAACAGTTATTGAATTAATATCT